GTTAAGAGAGGGGGGTGCCAGCTCAGGTGTCCTCTACGTCACTTGACCATAGTTCAAAATTACGTGGTCCGTCGCCAAAAGCTCTCGTGTAGCTGAACAGTGCGACGTTAATATTCATTCACTCCCCATAATCAGGAGCTGACAATTGATGAGCTTGTTATGAACATTTGGTTTTATAGCGTTAAAGTATGGGAAATTGCCTTAAAAAATCTGAGAAAAAATTTTGTTTTTGTTAGGCGTAGCTGGGCTAACATCAAAACGTTGCAACTAGTCTGATAACAAAACACGGGCTGTTGCCAATCCGGTAAAATGGAGAAGGTTGCAAAGACATTACTTCCAGGTTTATAAGTTTAGAAATAAACACAGTTAGTTTTACATAAAATACAAAATATAGTAAATTACAAATGCCTAAATATAAAATTATGAAATTCATCTTAAAAATTAATTATTTTTTAAATTAAAATGTTCTATAATTTTATTATATTTTTCAAGCTCATAGAAATGCATGAACAAGAGCAAGACATTTAACTTGAGTCTTTAGATCCGGTTTAATCAGAAGATCAATTGACTGTTCGAAATTTGATTGAAGGCTTCAGTTTAATTGAAAAAGGATTAAACACACACACACACACACACGCACGCACTTTAGAAAATATAGACTCCAACGAAGAGCGTGTTTTTTCCCCAATAAAACAAGGATTAAAAAAAAAAAATATTAGCCTGTGACGATGAGATTTTGTGGGAGAAAAAAATTATTTGTGCCGGCAGACTTGTTTCTTAGATTTTATGAAACCTTTTACATCAGAATAACTTCGTTTTGCGATTTTTATTAGTGTTATCTAAGATTTTAATATACATTTTTTAATTTAAATTTGTATTTTCTTTCATCTCCGGTCTCAACTAAAAATTATTTATGTGTATTTATATGCGAAATTGTACCCAGATTTACGCGGTTATCACTTAGTCCCACCTATCGCATAAGTTCTGTATATTATTGTATCCAGTTTAATTCATTCACGTATTTCCATGAGTACCACAGATGGTTACACCATATGGGATTAATAGCAGTCAAAGTTTATTCCAATGACATTTTCTATTCTTAGAATACCTCAAAAGATCAAAAAGATCTCCAGACGAGTGATAATATCTTGAAAGTATACAAAAATTAATTACATGTTAAGCTCAACCAGCAACCAGTATACATTACAGTTCTTTTATACAAATGAACAAAAACATATTTAGAATAATCACAAAAAATACCAACTTAAACAACATAGCTTTAACAATAGGTGATTATGTACCAGCAAATAAGTTAAGGGATCCAATAAATTAGAACTCCGTGAATTATTTATTGAATTAAAGCAGACGATACTAATAAGGAAGAGAATTTTCCAACCTAAACCATATTTATAACTACTGCAAAATTCAAATAGTAAATTAAAAATTAGTTTATAAAAGGGAAATAAATTTAAATATAGATAATACTAAACGCCATGGTTGGATTATTAGTACAGATCATTAATTTTTGCTTATTCTAACATAACACATTATTCAACGCTACATTGTTTCTAAAGTTGTCTAGGCAGAGCTAAATAAATCAGTACTGAACTGATACTGTCAGTAAATAATCAGTTAGTGACAGTAATTGATTATTTACTGCCTGTAACGCTTATTATCACAGGGATAAAAATAGGAGGGACTCTAAATGTCTAAATATCTAAGTCTACATCAACATAAACATTGACTAAAAGCTTGAGTTCAGAAAAACAACAGGATTTTGATTGAATTAACGTTGTTCTGCAGTAGCACTAAAGCTTTCAATGTTGGACCCGATATATATAATCATTAGGCAGAGTCAACATATGACTACTTTTGAGTCAACACATGACTACTTTTGAATCAGTACCTAATACTTTTAACGTATAAATCCATCTACAGAAAAGCTTTAAGGCACATTTCCATACTAAGAGTAGCCTATCTAATTATCATTCTACATAATAATAATTATAATAATAATTAAAAACTATGATAATATGAATTATATAAAATAATGCAATGAATATTTTGGAATAGAAAATACTAAAAAATACTGAAAATTAAACGAAAGAAAATTTCGTAATTCAGTCCAGGTTTTTAAAATGTGCTGTTGGGAGATATAACGATATTTTTTAATCATTATTGCCATTATCTAATGACTTAATTGATACCATGTAGCAATAATAGGTAATATGATTTTTTTTTAAAAAAATCAATTTCTATTTAGGTTAACATAGAAAACTTTATTTTATATAGTTACTTTTTATTCATAATTACAATTAATATAAATATGTATATAAATATGACCGAATCACAATTTTCAGGAATCCGACTACGTTCAGAACCACGATTTTAAAAAGGTGCATAAATAGATAATTTTCGTGATATTTAGTGTTACTTAGATTAAAATACATGTATTAAATCGTTTTAAGGACACATTTTGACATAAAAAAATTATTTAAATACAATATTTTGGCAAAAAATTAACATAGAATAATCTTTTTTCAAAATAATCTCCTTTTGTAAAAAATGCTTCTATTATAATAATATTTTGCCTGTATATAGCTCAGACCTCTGTACAGAGGCTCCGCTATAATTTTTGAAAACTTCACAACAATTTCAGAGTTACAACCCATTGAAATATAATTATCAGCATTTCTTTCTTAAAATTTCTCCCCTCTGTTGTCGTAAAACATGGATAAACACTTCTAAGTTATATATTTCCAAAATTCTAGTTGAGCCTCTGTACAGAGGTCTGAGCTATATACAGGCAAAATATTATTACAATAGAAGCATTTTTCACAAAAGGAGAATATTTTGAAAATGGGTCATTCTATGTTCATTTTTTGTCAAAATAGTATACTTAAATATTTTTTTTATTGTAATACTATTCGCAAAGCAATTTTATACACATTTTCTAATCTAAATGACACTAAATATCATAAATATTATCCATTTATACACTTTTGCAAAATCACGGTTCCGAACGTAGTCGGATACCTTAAGAGAGAAAGCAATTTTCCTTTCTATATTTGGTGTTGGCCTATTATTTTTGTTTGTTAATATTTATTCATTCCTAAATCACATTCTCAGAAATTAGGCCATCCCAGTTAGGATACGAACGTACGACCTTTGAATTCGAAGTCCAACGTGCTATCCATCGCACTACAGGGATACAACGAGCGATTTTCCTTTTTATATATGGTGTTGGAGTATTATTTTTGTTTGTTACTATTTATTCATTATTTAAATTTAATTAATGAATTAATATTTTAGAAAAACTGTATGAGAACATCAAGTGTCCTCCACTACAAGTTTTAAAAAAACTTAATGGATGACTTAGTTTGAAATAGTCAGTTTTTAGTTCTATAATTGAACTTAAATGGATAAGTAGAAAGTATTTTATTAACGATTGTGAAAATTTAAATAAGATACATATAGGGAGATTGTGAACTAATAGTAGGAATTGAAAAAAGTATACCATTTATGTGTTAAAATTAGATAGTGTACTGTAGTTTCTGACGGAAACCTAGTTTGGTATCTTGACTAAGTATGGATCAATGTATTTGAGTACATATTCAAAACTAACACTACTCAAAAATTCCATGAAACGTTCGAAAGTCGGGTCCCCTGTTAATTGGATTGGATTAAATAGTGTACTGTAGTTGCTGATAGAAATCTAGTTTGGTATCTTGACTAAGTATGGGTCAATGCATTTGAGTACATATTCAAAACTAACACTACTCAAAAATTTCATTAAATGTTCGCAATTAGGGTCACCTGTTGAATGGATTTGTTCCTAAATAATTTTAGCAATCGTTATTTTTTGCAGTTTGCTTAAAGGGAAAGTCCTTATCTACTCTTTCAAGTATTAATTTCATACAAGGGAGACGAAAATAGCTAAATATAACTTCTGGGAATGTTGGATAAAACGTAATTTTTAATTGTTAATACTTTAAAAAATGTCAATTTACCTATGAATGAGGACTAGAAAAGGCACCAAAGTGTAGACAACCAAAGGGAAGATTACTGACATCACCAACAACGGTAACAGAGATTGGAATGACACCAGCAAACCAATACCTATCATGGATAAGCATTGAACACCACATGAAGCGATAGGGAAACAAAATGGCTTCCATTTTTTCGAGAACGTCCTGAAAAGAAGTCCATCTGTTGCCATATCCTCTATCACAAAGTGCAAAGGATAAACGGCCTCGATGCCCAGGATGGAAAGGCAGATGATGAGAAGAATGTTGTTGGCTAGTGTCAAAGAAGCGTTCGATGTGTACCCGACGTCAAAGAATTTTCCCGCCTGTGACACCATGAAGAGAAGGGAAAGTATGATGACAAAAGAAATGGAGTTGAGTGGTCCTAGGACAGCTGCTGTTTTCTGGCGTACTTGCTTCTGGGAAATGCGGACTAAGCTTTGAGGTCCAGAGAAGAAAAGGAGACACAGAGATGATGTTGTTAGGAGCTGAAAGAGAAAAAAGTTTTACATAGAAATCAGAATAGCTTAATTGTGATGTTTAGTGAAACGCATCGTACTAAAACTGGATTACTGAAATTAAGTTTCTGATTTTAAACATTTAAGTACCGTGGTCTAAAAGTTCTTTTTAAAAAAAAATAAATAAAATAAAACAAAATAAAATTTAAAAAAAAATAATTGTTATTACAATAGCAATTAATGAGCGTATTTCCCCCCTTATTTGTCTCAGTAACGTTTACCATTAAATTGATATTAGTGTCTTCTCAACTCTGATGACTGAGATCTGTTTCTCTCAATTAAGGTATCAGACTACGTTGGGAGACCAGTTTTTCAAAAGTTTATTTGTAGAAGAATTTTATTGTTTTAAAGAATATAAAAAAATAGGCTTAAACAGTCATAATTATTAAATAAATAACTTATACCATCCTTCGGTTTTGAAAAAAATATTTTTTAATGAAATTTTAGCAAAATTTTCGAAGTTAAGAAAAACGTGATAAATAAGTATACATTCGACATAATGCAATTTTATTTGCATTGATATACTTCTTGATCCATCTGAAATGTCACAAACCACAGGGTGAAAAATATTTTAATAAATAAATATTAAAATATATTAAATTCGATTTTAACGATTTTTCGTCAAAATTACTGTATGTTCTAAGCTAAAAATAGTTGTAAAATGTGACTAAATGGCTTCATTCCGTTCACGAAGGGAGATTCTGATTGACTGCGTATCCATTTGTGCACGGCTGCCTGAACTTAAGCATCCTGGATTCATCATTATGACCCAGAAAACAAGAGGCAATTCATGGAATATCGTCATCTTGGTTCCCCGAGTGTCAAGAAATTCGAAATTTTGATGTCAGCAACAAAAGTCATGCTCACTATCGTTTGGAATGCAAGTGGTGTGTATCAGTGGAAGTATATCAATCACGGAATTTCTGGCTAAAGGATTGAGGGTAAATTCTGATAGGCACTGTACAACACTACGATGACTCAATCAAAGCACCCGCAGAATCAGACCGGAAAGAAACGTCTTTCTTTTGCATCACGACAATGCAAGATCGCATTGCAGTGCACAAACAGATGACCTCATGGGAAAACTGAAACTCACAGTGGTTCCACAACTTTCTTACAGCCCAGATTTGGTACCGTCGGACTTTTGGTTGTTCCCAAAATTGAAGAAGACATTGAAAGGTCAACGTTTTTCAACGGATGCCGAAGTTCAGGCAGCCGTGAGCAAATGGATACGCAGACAACCAGGATCTTTCTACATGGACGGAATGAAGAAATGAAAAGAACGATTGAACAAATGTGTGGCTGTTCGTGGTGACTATGTTGAGAATTAAGTTTACAATGTGTGAGAGTAATAAATTTACTTCATTCTGATACCTATGTTATTATTTTACCTAGTCGGAAACTTATTTTATACTATTGGAGACCTTACTTATCAATCACCCCTCGTGCATAAGTTAAATTATACGTATTAGTACTTGGCTCTCAGGACATTTTGTAAAGAAATATAAAGATAAGTGAGATCCTAAGGGAACGTGAAAAAAATCAGATATGTCTAGCAAGCGCTTGTCATTTGACAACCTCACGCTCAGAAGACATTCTCCCTTTTAATAAACTGCTTTCAAAAAAGTGCATGGTTAATTTATATGTCATGATTCACGATGTTGAACTCTAAGGTAATTTGTCTAATAATAAAATCTATTGTTTTATTTTGCATTTATCTTTAACATTTATTGCGTGTTAATGATAAAAGAGTTAAACACATTTCTTAAAATTTAATCCATGAAATTACACATTTATATCTAAAAAATAATTTATGTTATTATTTAAATGTATTTCAATGATTTTCTTGACCATGAACAATCATTTCGATTAAAGCTTTGTCTATGAAATTGGTAAATCATTTAGTATAGCCACAATTATCTTTATAGTTTTTTGAGCTATCTTATGATCAAATGCATTTAATTACTGTTATAAGTTTAATACGTTTATTGACGACACAAAAAGAGAAAAACTCTTAAAAAAAATCATTGGAAGAAACTATTTAATCAACTGACAGTCGAAGAATAAATAATGTTATGATTAAAATGGAAAAAAGTTCTGGTAGGTGATTAAATGAAGAATAAGCGAAAATTTGGCGTAACACAATTAATCTGATAATTGGTTTATAATTCGTTTCGTTCTATAATTTTTACAAATGAATGAATTTTTATTCTGATTTAATTATCGACTTCTAACCTTATTAATTGTATTTTAGAAGAACATTCTTTAATTTTTAAACTTTTTACAAATTGTCTGACATTTCTTTAATACAAAATATTGTTAAATAACTATCAAATTAGAACAATTTAATTTTAAAAATATACTAATGGTAAAGATTAAATAGAAATAAGATCATTTTAGGTATGTTTGAAATTATTATTCCACAACGTCTAAAATATATAAACGAATTTTTATATTTTTAATGCTTCTTATTATTCCGAAATAATTCATTTTAATATATTTAGGTAAATGTCCTTATTGTGGTATTCTCTTTTAAAATATAACTTCAATCTCTTCTTATTAAAAGCTTTTCATTTACACGTATTTCATATATGTAAATTTTGTATTGCTTCTTTAAAGTGGCACATAAAAGAAAACTAAATATTTATTGCCCAATTATTTCTTCAAAAGCACACAAATACTCGGTTATATATATACTTTTTATAATAATAATAAAAAAAAAGCATACTCTCTTCCCTGTAAGGCCAAATCACGTCAATGCTATTTTTTTGTTTAAAGATTTTATTTTTGTATGCAAATAATTTGAAATCATATTATCTTTAGTTGTTTCATAGCAGCTGAAATCCCCATCAAAACAAAATATATTCATACGATGTATTTTGTAATGTTTATTTAGCTTGTTGTTTAAATTACATAACTTGATTTGTTTGCCAAGATAAGGAAAGTGGAATGCTTAAAATTATTATAGTCATGCAAATTATTCAGTAGCCTTGATTTGTTTATCGTTAAATTTATTGAGGAAGCAAATTTAGATTTTCATCTGTACACTCTGTATTTTTAATCTAAGAAACCTAAACTTTTAAAAAGCAGGGGAATATTAAAAGTTAAATTCTCAAAAATTCATGTTTTTATCAACAAGTTGAAAAATATCAGTTAGGCAAGGAAATTTCCTTGGCAGGAGAAATAAGGTTTTTTAGTTCCAGTTTATTCAGTTTCTTATCTATTAAATACAGCAATCAAAAACACTCATAAGATATTTTTAATAAAAAAAAAATCTCAACTGAACATAATTTTTGACACATAAAATCTCAAATATCGTTGTTTGAATTTATAAAAAAATAAATAAGCGTATTGAGATTTTTTTTTTATATCTTAAGAAGATGCTACATGAAAGAAAATTTCAATTCTAGAAAAACTTTCTCTACTAAAATTAGTAACACATTTTTATCCAATGTTTTTGATACAACTAATCAGATATGCAGTAATTTTTTTAAGAAAATTACACTTGTTCAAAAATTTGTACAGGGTCTTAAGTAACTCTAATGACGAGAAATTTGATGTGTTAGCATAAAAATTCGAAAGTTTTTGCCCAATGAAAATTTCTGTAGTTTGTCCTGGAGTATAATCTATACAATAATCTCCAAAAGGGATGAAATTGTTCTGATGAG